ACCGGCCCCATATACTGGAGGTGGTGGGTTTAAACCCGGCCCTGGCCAAAAACAAATAAATAAATCTCTTCTCTAGCTGGGCATTGTAGTAGGCACCTGTAGTCCCAGCTACTTGTGAGGCTGAGGTGAGATAATTGCTTAAGCCCAAGAGTTTGAGGTTACTGTGAGCTGTGACGTCATAGCACTCTACTGAGGGCGAAAAGTGAGATTTTGTCTCAAAAAAAAAAAAAAGAAAGAGAGAAATAAATCTCTTCTCAAATTAAAGAAAGTACATAATTAGAACAATAGTAGCTACAGCAATAATCTAGGCCGTATTGAACATTCCTGATTGACTTGTTTTAGAATATAGCATGTAAAAGTAAAGACTATATGCTATGCTAATTTTTAAAAATTAAGTACTTATATCTACCTTATAGAAGAAATACTCTATCATTGACCCTGACAGTAATGTCAGAATATTTTCTTAATTGAGTGTTCATATTAATTGATTGTTAATATTGCCAAGGTAGAAGTGCTTATATAAAATATTCTTCTAAAAGCATGCTTTACTTTTTAGTTTCGTAACTTGGGACTATAATTACCTACCCCAATTCATAATTACATAATATAAAGGGTATGAAATTAATACATGGACACTTGCAGTTATTGGATGTGAATAGCAACAACTCCAAGGCAATACACAGGAAAGATAAAAAATATATCGAGATCTCAGGTTTTTCTAAAAAGAGGATAAAAAAATCATGAACTAGAATTACTTTTTACTTGAACATTACTAAAATTCCCATATTAAGTATGTTATGTTTTAAGCCTAATGTAAAGCTAAAATACAGGTTATCTAGCAAAATTATATTTTTATATCTTATGATCATTAATCTATTTTAAAATTATTCATTTTACCCTTCATTCTGGTGAGATTATTTTCATGGTTTTTTAAAAATTAAATCATAGCTGTGTAGTTTCATGTTTTAATGAGGAAAATTTTAAGGAGAATACGACATTTCAGTTATGAGGTTACAAAAGGACACAGTACAAATATATGTAGATAGGCATAGTGATTTGGCTTTTTCTTTTCAAAATCTGAGCATTTCATTATGTGGATAAGAATGGTAGGCACATGTGTATGGAGGCATGGGGGAGGAAGAGGACCTATTTCTTTTTGTTTTGCCTCTTCCATATTGCGTCCACTCACATCACCTTGATGTAAGATCTATAAGACTAGAAAATAACAAAGTATTCCAGCCAGTGATCATGTTGATGCCTGGTAGCAAGTACAGGGTGGCCATAAGTTTGTGTGCAATTTAAAGACTAGATGAACTTTATGGCCACCCTGTAGATAACAGACTTTTTTTTTTTTTTTGCAGTTTTTGGCCAGAGCTGGGTTTGAACCCGTCACCTCTGGCATATGGGACTGGCGCCCTACCCTTTTGAGCCACAGGCGCTACCCGGTAATAGACTTTTTTAAAGGACTGTGTAAGTCAGGGGTACCTGCAATGTCTTGTGATCTCAGTTGCACTGTTCTTCTTTATTGCTAACTTTTCAAATATGTATCTTATCTATTTCTGTAAATTACTGCACATAAAGCATTAGACATTAAACTCTGTAGCCTTCAAAATACCCAGTGTAATCAAACTACACACACATATATTAACTTCATATTCACAAAACGAATTGAACAACATTTCAATTTGTAGACATGAAAAAGTCAAAGCTATCATGAAACATATCTGGGAATCTATTTGCAATCATGTTGACACATATAGCTCTAATTCATTCATTAAAACAATGCAAATCAAAACCACCTTGAGATATCATCTAACCCCAGTGAGAATGGCCCACATCACAAAGTCTCAAACCTGCAGATGCTGGCGTGGATGTGGAGAGTAGGGAACACTTTTACACTGCTGGTGGGACTGCAAACTAATACAACCTTTTTGGAAGGCAGTGTGGAGAACGCTCAA